AGGTTAAGGAGACAGAAATTGATTTCACAGCTGGAAGGAAAAGACAGGTAAGGTTATTAGGAAGCAGTTAGGCAAGTTAGGGGTATCACCAATAATACTGCAGGTGAATATGATTAAAGATGGAGTCAGACAGATGTGAGTTTTAATCCCAATTCAGCCACCTCTGGTTGGCTGACATCTAATACTTTTTTTTTTCACCTCTGAAAGTGGTTTTCCTCATGTGGAGAGAGTTTAAATGTCTAATAACTCAAGAGCTATCACCCACATAATTAGGAGACACCAGGAATACTCCCTTTAATTCTCAAAGTACCAAATGCACTCACAAAACAGTCTCAAATGCAAACTGCCCTGTCCTTCACATCTACTGTCTGCTGACCATCTTGGAGATGCCTAATGGCTATTGCTCACCACAATGAGAAGAGAATGCCAATGTCAAGTGTGGGGGTCTGCCTTCAAAAGGATTCCAAGTTTTGAAGATAATTTATTATTCATTCATAGACTACTAATACATATTTTACTCTAAAGAGCAAGGTGCTTCCATAACAAAACTTCATAATAGTAGAGTGGCTTTGGAACTGGGCAGTTGGAGAAATTGGAAGGCCTTGGAAAAGAGTTTTAGTGAAAGCCTGAAGAGTCTTGAAGAAACTGTTAGAAGAATGGGGGTGGCTTTTGAGGGACCATAGATTAAGGCTGAAGAGGAAATTAGAAATGTTTTATTGGAAACTGGAGAATGGGTCCTTGTTTTGCAGTGTCAGAAAGTTTAGCAACACTGCCACCTATACACAGTAGAAAATGTGCCTAATTAATTGGATGTTCTAGCTAAGTACATTGCCAGGTAGAGTGTTGAAATTCCTGATTATTGCAAAATGTGAGAAGAGAGAAATAATCTAAAGAAGGACTTTTTTTTTTTTTTTTTTTTTTTTTTTTTTTTTTAGGTCCAGAACTTGCTAGATTTGAATATTCCCATCTTCTCTAGATGGCAAATAATGCTAAAATGAAGAAATGGCTTCCAGTCAAAAATAAACTCCAGGACACTACAAGAAAAATATCATCAAGTGATGAAGCTGAGACTGTGGCTGTAAAAACCCTTTGTTCATACCTCCAAACGATCTATAGTGGTGATTCAGAGAATTATTCAGATGAATTATAAGGCCTCAAAGAAGTTTATTAGTGTTGTGCTTCAGCAGTTGCAGTAGAGGGATGCTCTGGAATAGAAAAGGGCTTCTCTTGAAGGGATCTGTGGGTATGATTTTTGTCCAATGAAGTGGTGCCCCAATTAGATTCATAGGAGACTCACAACATCTTTAAAGGAAATTATATTAGCAGAAACATTGCCAGCATGGACTATAATGGAACGGAGACAGTATAAAACTAAAAGGGGTCATGAAAGCACCTAAATTCTACTGGTAGACAGCAGACTGACAAGTTACACAGCTGCAAACATGGGCTACTTTTCTTAGAAAAGAAAGGATGCCTCAGAAAGTGGAATCAAGATCTTAAAGGGGAAGTCAAAGCCATGAAAAATCATTCCTAGGCAGAGGTAGAATTGGGTCCTAATTTGAGGAGCTTCTAACATGTGTTCAACTGAATTTTAGGATTATTGTGGACCAGTGAACTCCTCTGTGTCTTTTCTCCTTTTAAACAGGAGTATCTGTACCAGTTATCCTAAGCTTCTCCCATCATTGTGTGTTGGGAGTGAGGAGGAAAACAAATATTGATATGGAGAGGAACTAGACTCAAGGAGCTGCATTTAAGACTATATCTAGAAGTCTCATCCACACCTGGGCCTGATTTAGATACGATTCTGGACTTTAAGGTTATGGTTTGAGACTTTGGGGATCTTTGGAGGAAGTAGATGTATTTTACATTTGAGGGAGATGTGAATCTTTGGGGGCAAAAGGAAAAAAATATGGTAGCCACCCTCAAAGATGGCCCCAAAGATGCCCTGGCCAGTGTGGCTCAGTTGGTTGGGCATTGTTCCATGCACCAAAAGATCACTAGTTTGATTCCTGTTCAGGATACATGCCTGGGTTACAGGACCCATCCTTGGTGGGGTAAAGGAGGTTGTTCAGGAGGAAACCAATTAATCTCTCTCTCTCTCTTTCTCTCTCTCTCTCTCTCTCCTTCCCCCCTCCCCTAAAAATCTTAAAGAAAAAAGATGGCCCCAAAGATCCTCACCTTTTGGTAATCATACCCTTGTGTAGGACCCTTTCCTAATGAATAGAGTTGATCTCTGTAACTAATAGACTATGTTGGAAGTGATGGCGTGAAGGTTCTGAGCTTAGGTAATAAAAGACATTGCATCTTCCACCTTGCTCTCTCTTGGATCAGTTCCTTTGGGAGAATTCATCTGCCATGTCTAAAGCAGCCCAATAGAAAGTGGTGAGTTTCCTGTCAACAGCCATGCAAGTGAGCTACCTTAGAAGCAAATCCTACATGTCACGCCTTCAATGGACTATATCTTTACTGAAAAAGCAAATCCCACAGGTCATGCCTTCAATGACTATATCTGCAGCAAATGTCTTCACTGAAATCTTTTGAGAGACCCTGAGTTAGACCACCCAACTAAGCCATTCCTATATTCCTGGCTCATAGAAAGTGTGACATAATAAATACTTATTGTCTTAAGCTGCTATGTTTTGAGGTGATTTTCTATGCAATACAGATTAATATAACAAGGTTTCTATCTCTGAATGCTCCCAAAGATTCCAATTCCTGGGGAATCAGACTGTTCTGATTTCTGTGCAGAGGGTTACAGAAGGTCTGTCTCATTGAGTCTGCCATACCTCATTACCATAACTTTTTAAAAAACATTTTTTAAAAATTCATTTCAGAGAGGAAGGGAGAGGGAAAGAGAGATATAAACATCAATGATGATGAGAGAGAATCATTGATTGGTTGCCTCCTGCATGTCCCCTACTGGGGATCAGCAACATAGGCATGTGCCCTTGACAAGAATCAAACCTGAGACCCTTCAGTTCACAGGCTGATGCTCTATCCACTGAGCCAAACCAGCTAGGGCCATAACTTTTTAAGAGTTCCATCAAACTCTGCCTCTAAGACTCTCTTATCAGAAGGCTCAAGAAAGGATTGTGCAGTGTCAGATACTGAACTAAGGTGGTAAAATTTAGAACAAATAATAACAACAAAAAGACACCCCTCTGTTCCCACCTAGATCTTGGACATACACATAAAACATGTTCTTTTAAGACACTGAAAATTATTTTTCAGTGAAAAAATATTTTCTAAATGTGATAACATTATGCTTGTAAAAGGTATTTCCTTCTAAGCCTGGAGAGTTGAAATTAGAAGACTTAGAGAACAGTGCTTCTTGCTTGGTTAGAAAGCAAGAAGCCGAAACTGGTTTGGCTCAGTGGATAGAGCTTCGGCCTGCGGACTGAGGGGTCCCAGGTTCGATTTTGGTCAAGGGCATGTACCTTGGTTGTGGGCATATTTCCAGTGGGGGGTGTGCGGGAGGCAGTTGATCGATGTTTCTCTCTCATCTGTGTTTCTAATTCTCTATCCCTCTCCCTTCCTCTCTGTAAAAAAATAAATAAAATATATTTTTTAAAAAAGAAACACTATTCTCTAAGTATACTACTGTTGATATTTGAGTTGACATTTGATTTTTTCCCCCCAGAATGGTGCATTAACCCTGTTTTGAATGTGCTACAGAAATAATTTCCAGAGAAGTGAACTGGAAATAAATAGAAATGAGTATTCAATTGGAAAAAAAACAAAAAAACAAAACAAAACAAAACAAACCTTCTGACTTCCAACATTCTATAGAATTGTTCTGAGGTTCAAAAGCCAAATATTTATAAAAAGTAAATCTCTGACAAAAGCTGCATAGAGAGTAAGCATACATTATATGTGGAGACATTAAAATTATCTGAAATGTGTTTTACCCCATCTTCTCCCCTTGCATCTGGAAATTGGAGCTCAAAATTTGCAAGGGCGTCAATGGAAAACAGACATCACTCCATCCCCCTCCATTCTTCTCTACCACACCTTGGCCTCTCCTTGGACTAGATAAAAATGTCCTTTTCCCCTCCCAAATATGAAACAAAAGCTCTTCAATGACTGGAGAGTCATAGATATGGTGAAGAGATGGGGGGTTGATTACACTACAGGCAGCCAGCCAAAAATCCTCAATGTGTTAAAAATATGTTTAAAATCCTTTTAAAGGGTCACAATGTCCAATAAATATAATTTGTGCCAATAATAATAGTTTAAATGTAGTGAATACTTCTATAAGGCCGGTACCTTTACATTTCTTCCACGAAACAGTCCCATGACATAGGTATTATCATTATTTCCGCTTCACATATATACGTTGTTAAAAGCAGAAAACAGAAAGATCAACGAAATCTCCATGGTCACAAAACCAGCAGGTTGTAGTATCAGGATCTGGGGGCCCTTGGGCCGTGGATCTTTCAAAACCAGCTCGTAAAGAGCCACAGAAAGAGCTAGCCCAATTCTTGGCACTTTAGTATGGGTTAATAAATAACAGTCCCCTTCCTCTCTTTGGAACCCAGTGTGCCCACTGGAACTCTCATTTGATAAATGCTGTCTCTCCACCTACCTCATCTGACATCTCAGCCAAACCCAAGGCAGGCTCTCAGAAAAATGCACAAAGGTTGCCTCCCTCTAGGTTCTGAGCCCCTAGGAGGCAGGAATGCAAACAGTCTTGGATGACAATGTCTGTTTGCTTAGGCTGACTGAGAATCCCCAGGCCTGGGAGAGCAAACAGGACCCTTCCCAGGGTCCCCTGGACACCCAGGCGGCCAGGTCCTGGGCAGCAATGCTCTGCCCTGACACCTTCCCTTGCAGGCAGCAGCGGGGACTGGGGAGGTCAGGGACACTTGGGAAGGAGCCAGACTGAAATAGACAAGCACACCTGCCGGGTGGGCTTGGCAAATCCAAATCCCTTGACAGCTCCAGAGAGAAACTCAGGGGGAGGCGGGGCCCAAGCTTGGGAAGTGAGGAAGGCCTCCTCCATCCTCCCCCTCCTTCCGGGGCTGCGGAGCCCCCGCGGGCACCGCAGGAAAGGGCCATTGCCACTTTAAATGACTCAGGAAGTGAAAGGAGGCCGCCTGACGGGGACACGGAAAGTGGAACCGGGGTGGCACGGCTCCGTGATCTCGGATCAGTGAGAGACCAAGCGGGCAGCGCGGGGGCCATCAGGGGCTCACTCGGGCCGCTGCACCGGAAGTGCCTGTGCCCCGAGGAAGCGCAGGGGGCGCCGGGGCCGGGGCGGGCGGGCAGGCCCTCTGCTCCTCGGCTGGCCGGGCTGCCCGGAGCTGGCGGCAGCAGCGCCCCAGCCCCAGCCCCTCTCCCAGATCCCACGCGGCCCAGGCGGCCAGCGCCTCCCTGGCACCGGATCGGCCATCTGCCCGGAGGAGGAGGACGACGTGAGGAGCCATAGCCCGAGCCAAGCGGCCATCTCCGGGGGGTGGGGTGGTGGGCCAGGCCTGGCCCTGTCACCGCTCCCGCATGGCCTCTGGAGTGGGCGCGGCCTTCGAGGAGCTGCCGCACGACGGCACGTGTGACCAGTGTGAGCCCGACGAGGCGCCGGGCGCCGAGGAAGTGTGCCGGGAATGCGGCTTCTGCTACTGCCGCCGCCACGCCGAGGGCCACCGGCTCCAGTTCCCCGGCCACCACCTGGCCCGGTACGTGCACGGTGCCGCCCCGGCCTGGGCCCCCCGAGGCCCCGGGGAAGGCCATGGCGACGATGGCAAGGCCGCTGTGCAGGCCAAGGTGGAGGAGGAGGAGGGCGACCTAGAGAGCCAGGCCGGGGAGGAGAGCGAGTCCCAGGGGGACAGTGACTCCGAAGAAGAAGAAGAAGAAGAGGAGAGCGAGATCTCGGAGGAAGAAAGCGAGGAGAGCGAGGAGGAAGAGAGCGAAGACGACAGCGAGGAGGACATGGAGGACGAGCAAGAGAGCGAGGCGGAGGAGGAGGACAACCGTGACGACGGGGAATCGGAGGCGGATGGGGAAACCGAGGCAGAGAGTGAATTTGACCCAGATATCGAGATGGAGGCAGAGAGAGTGGCCCAGAGGAGATGTCCGGACCACGGGCTGGATCTGAGCACCTACTGCCAGGAAGACAAGCAGCTCATCTGCGTCCTGTGTCCCGTCATCGGGGCCCACCAGGGCCACCAGCTCTCCACCCTGGACGAAGCCTTCGAAGAGCTCAGGGTGAGTATTGGGCATTCGGAGCAGAGGCCCGGAGGTCAGGGTACCTTGGCTTCAGCTCAGGTGGTGTCATTGGGGCCACATTCCCTTCGATCGTGTCCCTACAACGTTTCCCCTTCAGCTTGCTGGGCGTAGCTGGGAGCTTATTTGCCTTGTTGATGGAACTTATTAGGGAATCAGATGAGAGTTTTGGAAAAATAAAGAAAAATAACATGTCCTCACAAAATCTAGTAGACAGTTTCTGGGAAATTGGAAGTTCTCTGGTCTCTGGATTCCCAGGTAAAAAGCATGTGTTGGGAGTGTTGACCCCACGTAAGCCTGTTCCCATAGCATCACTGTTGTTGAGACTGGTGCCTTGACTTAGGGCTCTTGAATTTTGCCAAATGAAATCCTAGCAAGTAGTGTCAAAACTGCCCAAGGTTGGGGTTTTGATAATCACTTCGCGTGTGTCCTGAGTTCCTTCTGGGCTCTTCGTGTTTGATACTTGTTTGGAAGAGAGGATGAAAGGTTGGAGGCAAAATTGGGATGGGAATGGGGGCCTTCGGTCCTCCATCTTTTGTAAGAAGGCCTTTCTGAGCCCCTAGAATAGTGTTTGGAAAGTATGGACATTAATAAATACTTGCTGAATGGGTGAATTTGCAAATGACTTTCCTTTTATTTATATTGTGATGTATACAATCAATGAAACTACGGGCATTAACCAGGGAGGAATGTTTGAATGGAGTGATTAGTTTATTGATTGATTGATTGAGCAAGAGAGAAGGGAGAGAAACATCAATTTGTTGTTCTACTTACTCACCCATTCATTCATTGGTTGATGTATGTGCCCTGACTGCAGATGGAACTCAAAACCATGGTGTATCCAGCCACACACTGACCAACACTGCTACCCTGCCAGGGCTGGAGTGATCAGTTTATTAAGTGATTAGTTCATTAGTGAATGCTGTCATCTTATGATGACTTTTGATTCCATAAGTCACACTGCTGGCACTGAGATAACAAATACCTTGATAATGAAAATCCTTGCATTAAAATTTTCCTTATTCATTATAAAACGCACACTCAAAATATGTAAAAAATACACTCAGATTAAGAAATAGAATATTAGCAGTGTTAAAGCCCTGTGCCCTTTTCCAGTTGTAACCACTTTCCTTCACTTAAGTAACCATTATCCTGACTTTTCCAGTGATAATTTCCTTGCTTATTTTTATACTTTTACCACATATGTATGCATTCCTAAACTTACTTGGACTTGGCACAGTTGGTATAATATGTTATTGTGTTTGTAAGATTCATCTAGTAGGTGACTGTGGTTTGCCCATTTTCATAGTTGTATAGAATTTCATTTTATGAATATGCCACAAGTTACCTATTCTGTCAATAATAAATATTTGAGCCCAGCTGGCATGGCTCAGTGGTTGAATATGAACCTATGAATCAGGAGGTCATGATTGGATTCCCAGTGAAGGCACATGCCCAGCTTGTGGGGCTGAATCCTTAGTGTGGAGTGTGCCCATCTCTTTGATGTTTCTCTCTCTCTATTTCCCCCTCTTCCTTCCTCTCTGAAATCATTAAAAATGTATTTTAAAAATAATAACAACGAACATTTGATTTCCAGAGCTTCTGGCAGTTATAAATATTGGTATAAACAATCTTGTTCATGTCTCCCAGTGCACATCTACATACATTTAAGTGAAATATAAACTTAAGACTGTGATTATTGGGTCATAGACTATGAATAAAGGCTAAGCAATTGTTCCACTGGTAGCTATGATGCACACTGACCACCAGGGGGAAGATGCTCAATGCATAGGCATGGAAACATGGAACAGATAATGAATCTCAGAGGGAAGAGGGGAAGGGGAGGGAGGGAAGAGACTAACCAAATATCTTATTTGCATATTAGAGGCCCAGTGCATGAATTTGTGCACCAGTGGGGTCTCTTGGCCTGGCCTGTGCCCTCTTGCAATCCAGGACATCTTGGGGGATGTCAGGCTGCTGGTTTCGGCCCAATCCCTGCAGGCCAGGCTGAGGGACCCACTGGTGCACGAATCCATGCACTGGGCCTCTAGTCTTTAACATTACTAGATGCTGCCAAATAGTTTCCAAAGTGGTTGTACTAATTTGCATTGCCATGAAGAGTGCTTGAGAGATCTTTTTTTTTTTTTTTTTAATATATTTTATTGATTTTGTACAGAGAGGAAGGGAGAGAGATAGTTAGAAACACCGATGAGAGAGAGTCATCGATCAGCTGCCTCTTGCACACCCCCCACTGGGGATATGCCCGCAACCAAGGTACATGCCCTATGACAGGAATCAAACCCGGGACCCCTCAGTCCCCAAGCTGACGCTCTATCCATTGAGCCAAACCAGTCTCGGCGAGAGATCTTGCTCTGTATCCTCAGGAACAGTTGCTATTACAGAATTTTTAATTTTTGTCAATCTTGTGGATATGTAATATCTTCTTGTGGTTTAAATTTGCATTCCTCTGGCCACTGATGACTAAATATCTTGTATTCTTTTGAAGTGTCCATTCAGGTCATTTCTATTCGTTTATCAAGCTTTTTCTCATTAATTTATAGAAGTTTTACATATTTATTAATATTTCTGACTTCTTTGTTGTTTATTATATATATGGATTCCAAGTATCTTCTTATATACTCTGTTTTCTCTTTTTCTTTTTAAAAATTTGCGCCTTGAATCAAGTCCTTTATTTTAATGTAATGGAATTTTTATCAATAATTTCCTTTATTGTTAGTGCTTTTTGTGCTTTGTTCAACTTAGTATTGATTTTTGTGAAGTGGAGGTAGGGGCTCAATTTCATTCTCCTCTCCCACATATAGATAGCCAGCTGCTCTAGCAGCATTTATTGAAAAGCTTATCCTTTCTACACTGATCTGCAATGGTTACTTTGTACCATGCATTAATATGTGGTAGAGGAAGTTCTTCCACTTTGTTCTTCTTGGCGAGTGGCTTATCCAGTCTGGCCATTTACATTTCTTAGACTCACACTATAAAGTTATATAAATAAGCCTGCAGAATGTTTTCTGTATCATATTTAATTTATAAACCAATACATGAAGAATTAATATCATTACATGTTTTCTAATCTATTTATTTAAGTATTTTTATTGCCTTACAATAAAGTTTTACAATTTTGGGGGGAAAGATCTTCTACATCATTGAGAAAAATATTTCTGGTTACTTATAATTTTATAGAATTGCAAAAAAAAGTTTTTAATTTTTGTTTTCTAATTGTATATAGGAGTATGACTTTCATATATTTATCTTTATATTAAGGTATCTTCTTAAATTCCCTTATATATTATAGTAATTAATCTATAGGTTCATTCTATTTAGATGATAATGTTATTTGCAAAGAGGGACAGTTTTTATTTCTTTTTAATCCATATACTTGTTATTTTTTCTTGCCTTATTGGCACAGATAAGACCTCAAGTATAATGTTTAATATAAGAGATAGTGGTTATTCTGACTTTGTTCCTAATTGAGGGATCATTACATTTCACAAGTAATGTGATAGTTGTTTGTTTGTTTTTTGTTTACATATATATTTTTCCAGATTAAGAAAGTTCCCTTCTAGTTCTAATTTATTAAAGAGTTTTCTTTAATACTGACTGGACTCTAAGTTTTATCAAATATTTTTTCTGTATCTATTAGGTATACATGTGATTTTACACTTTAATTACATTAACCAATTTACTAATAAATTTAAAAATCAGTAATATATTTACATGTCTTAAAAACCTATCTTTCACATTTGCCCCTTTCACCTGGTTTCCTACTTTCATTAAAGTGTTTGCTTTATCTTTCAAGTCCTTCTTTTAGCAAATACCAGTATATGCATATATTAGTATATGGTCTTATTTTTATCCCTTTGTGTCATTATTATTGTACAATTAACTTAAACTTGTGTTTCTAGGGCAAAATCAACTTGGTCATGATGAAGTGTCCTTAAATTTTTGAGTTTGGTTTATTAATAATTTGTGTAGGTTTTTAATTTATATTTGTGGGAGAAATTTACTCAAGTTTCTTTTACTGTCCTCGTGAGATTTTACTATCCAGATTATGTTGGCTGCATACTATGAGTTAAGTTGTTTGCTTCTCACGTTTTCTTTTTCTTTCTCTTTTAATGCTCTGGAAGTGTTTGTATAAGATTGGAATATTTCTCCCTAGAATGATTGATAGTTGGCTACTTTGCAGTCTATGGGTTTGAGTCTTGTTACATAAAGAATGACCATGGAAGCCTTTTCTGGACTTGAAAAGACAGAGGGTTTGGGGAAGGGGAGAGAGAGAGGGAAGGACAGGAGAAAGAATTTTGTTTTGTTTTGTTTTGTATAGTATTTTTGGCTATGATTCCATTTAATGGTTATAGTTCTGCCCAAGTTGTCTGTTCCTTAGGTCAATTTTAATGTTATTTTCCCAAAAGTTGTTTATTCTATCTAAATTTCCAGATGTATTAGTATAAATATGTGAATTATATCCTATTATCTTTTGTTTATACTGCAGCTATCTTTATTTCTTTAAGAATAAAGTCAGCGTGTTCATGTGATGTTTTCAGTAGGCGAAGACTTTTTAGATCTCTCTCTGTTATTGTTTTTGATGGTGTTTTTGTTTATTGTTTTTTGTTCATTATGTTTGACAGCATAGCTTCTCATTGCCTTTAAAAAATTTTTTGTCAGGATTTCCCAAGTCTTGTCATGAAACTGTATTTGAAGGAGGATTTCAATTTGTTTCTGCTAACACTTGAAAGTATAACTTCTTTAGAGCCCCCTTAAACTAAATTGCTTGAGACCAAATTTTCAGGAAGTGTCTTCCAAAGTTTACAGCCTCCTGAAGAATTTTCTTTCATCCCAACCCAAGCCACCCGCCCCCAACCCATTTTGTTCAACTCCAAGGCAAAACTCCCACAGTCCCCTTTGGAGGGTCAGGTAGTGAGAAGTTTACTTTGGTTTGCCTTTACCTTTTGGCAGGGGTGGGAAGA